CACTGATAAACCATTTACCAAATAACTGTACTGATTTATACTTCCACTAACAGTGTAGAAGAGTTGGCTTTGTTCCATGTTCTCAGCCTTCATTTGGAACTTTATGTCTGCTCTCATTTTTAGCCATTCCACTGCATAGTGGTACACCCTGGTTCAAATTTGCATTTTCTTGGTGACTAATGATTTGAGTGTCTTTTCCTATGGTTGGCTTTATTTTATTTATTTATTTTATATATAAATTTAAGTCCATCATACATATGTATTTGGCTGCTTGTTTTTTATTTGTTTGTTTTTGTTTTGTTTTTGAGACAGGATACCACTATGCAATTCAGGGTGGCCTTGAACTCACTTTGTAGCTTAGGCTGGCCTCTTAACTTGCAGTGATTCTCCTGCCTCAGCCTCCCAAATGCTGGAATTACAAGTGTGTGTCATCATGCCCAGCCTTTGGATGTTTTCTAATCAAACCTCTTGCCCATTTTTTCTACTAGGTTGTCTTTTACTAATAAGTCTGTAAGAAGTCTTTATATGTTCTGTATCCGACTATTTTACAGGATATAAGTTTCTAAAATGTTTTCCCATTTATATTTATACTGCGCTACTGATGTCTCAATAAAATAAAATTTTTAAATGTAGTTTATCAGCATATGTTTCCTTTTCTGTCTAGCAATTTTTGTCTCCTTTCAAATAAATCTCTGCCTACTTGGGGATTATGAGCACGTTATCCTGTATTTTCTTCGATAACTTCTATCTCCTTTATGTGCATATTTGTGCTGTTGGGAATTGAACCTAAGAAATGCTGAGCCACATCCCTGGTCCTTTAATTTTTTATCTTCATTTTGAAGCAAGGTCTCACTAAATTGCCCAGGTAGGCTTTTAACTTGCAATCCTCCTGCCTCAGCCTCCCAGTATCTGGGATTGTAAGAATGTACCATCACATCTGGCTTCTTCCTCCCTCTTGTAAGGACATTTGTGATGCTATTGAGGGCCCACCCAGAAAATCTAGGATCAATTCTATCTCACGAGAGCTCAGTGTGGTCATGTCTGTGCATTATTTTTTCAAATAAGGTAACAAGGACAGGTCTGAGGATTAGGATCTTTTACCTTCGGGGTGAGGCTAGGGGTGCTTTATTCAGCCTATCATGTTTGTGATTTTTTCTAACTACATAATCATAACATCCATGAATAACAACAATTTTGATTTCTCCAATGTAGCTTGTATTTTATTACTTTTTTTATATATAGATGCTCTTGACCTATGATGGGGTCACATCCTAATAAGTCCACCATACATTTAAAATAGTCTAAGTTGAAAGAGTTTTATACACCAAGTGGCCAAACGCCCTAGCTTAGCAACACAGCACCCTGAAGCAGAAGTTGTTCACACTCATGATTGTGGGGCTGATGGGAAGCTTTGACTCGCCACAGCTGCTCAGCTTCTCACAACAGTATTGATCATAGAGCATATCACCAGTCCTGGGAAAGATCAAACTTCAAAATTCAAAGTGCAGTTTCTTCTGAAGGTATATCGCTCTCACATTACTGCAAAGCCGAAAGAATCCTAAGTCAAGCTGTCACAAGTCAGGGACCATCTGTAGGAAGTAGGTAAGTCACACAGACAGTGCGATCAGAAGCAAAACTAGAGTCCGGAGTTTCTGCCTGTGAGTCCAACATTTGTTCCTTCTTCCTCTCTGCCTCGTGGCTCTGACTGCCCCCTCTGCTGCCAAGTTCTCTGCTGTGCAAAGATCCTGAAAGGACCAGAGCCTGTGGATTTCCAGGTAGGGTAGTGTCAGTCCTAAGCCCTGGTCAAGTTTACAAGAGCGGGCCTCACGATGGTTCAGATGTACCACGCTTCTCCTCAGAGGAACCTTGCACCTGGTGCCTAATGCTTCATGCCTCTCATCTTGGAATGATATTGTCTTGAACATGTATTTTGTGTGAGGTCAGATGGGAGGGACATGGGGCTTGGGGCTTGCTTACTCATGATCCTGCTTCTTGCTACATCACAAAACCCTTGATCCCCCATTCCCAAGAGCCTATCTCGATTGTCATAGTCCTCCTCCCCCGGTAGAGCACAGGGGGACTCAGGGTACAGAGTCCTGGAGGTAGAGCTTGGCAGCACTGCGGAGGAAGGCTGGCCAGCTGCCATGTGTCTAGGAATTGAGCCTCTCATCTATCCAATCCAGGTACCAAGCACGTTTCATTACTGATGCTTGCCAATTCGGGAAGCAACCCATCTCCTGCAGGTTGGGTGGAACCCATGGAAAGGGAGATGCTTGGCTTGGTTTCTTCAGGTCTTACTCACAGGAGCTTCAAGATGCCTCAGCCTCAGGCTGGCAAGAGTAGGAATCTGGCATCTTGGGAGAATACTCCTGGGCACCTAGGAAGATGCATATATGCACCTGCAAGTATGCATTCTGGGGCCCTCCCCTAACCCCCTCCAGGCCTGGATGATGCTTTTTCATTCTCTCCCTTTCCAAGCCTGGCTTGGATTGTCCCTTCTGGGCAACTCAAGACTCCCTCTATAGAGGAGCTGCTAAATACGAATGGTGTAATTTTAGTGATTCCACATGCAAGTCAAATGCTCAGCTATTTGCATTTATATTTGCATTGCATAATATAAAGAGGAACTGTAAAATCCATGGCAATAAATGAAAACTTTAATTTTTCTTAGGATGACATTAAATAACAAATGAAAAACACCGTGACAGTTAGGAGGAGAGGAAAAAGCTTTATCTATAATGCACTTTTTTCTTGCTTTTTAACCTTAAGGCCTTGCATTTTCATTTTGCACTGAGCCTCACAAATTTTGTAGCCCCTCCAGTTACAACCTGTTCCTTGCCTAAGCCAACACGATGCAAGCCTGTAGCTGACCCCAAAACCAATGACTGGAACTCAGCCTCACAATAATGTGACTTTCTGTGAGTGCCCCACGGTGACTCACAGTTCAAGACTGTATATTTCTCACTTGTCTGAATGCAAAGTAAAAGTGGCTATTTTTATAGAACAAAAACCAGGAGAAAATACAGAATTCAACCCATCTATATGCACTGCTGCACCTGAGACACTCAGCACACATAATAAATCTGTCTTTGGAAACTTGCTCCTTTGCAGTTTTGACACAGATAAATGACAAGTATTAAATCTTAAGGGAAAAGAACCAGCTGCTGTAGTCGTCGAATTACTGAGAGGGAAGCCTCTAGACCCGCTGATGTGAATTATCAGCCAGAGGCCTCCGGAAAGGTCCCAGGTGAATTGGAAGAATGTCAGCGGTGACTTCCAGGTGTGTCTGTGCTAACCAATCCAGCGTCTTGTCTAACCTCACAGAAACTGAGCTTTGGAAGCCATTACTGTCTGCTTGAACTTCCAGGGACATTTTCGGGTCAGACAACACTACATCAGTGTTCCTGAACTTGGACTGTTACTTTATGGAGTTTTCCTTCACTAGAATAAGGTACCTGATGTGGACATACCCGTTGTGCAGCACAGCACGCTTGGCTGGGAGTCAAGACAACGGGGACAAATCTAGAAGGTTAGAAGTTAACGTAGCTCACAGAGGACGGGGGTGGAGGGCCTCGAGAGGATGGACGTGACATCCATGTTTGCTTCCTTAGTGCCTCATATGTCACCTGGCTTAGAGTGGGGACTCAGGACACTTTTTAGAAAATTAAATTCTGTTGGACTCTTTCATCTTTAGATGTGAAACTATACCCCAGAAAATGTCCGTGATATTCTCGTAACTATTCACACAGCTAACTAGCAACAAACCTGAGACCACTGTGAAGACTTTTGCCCTCGGTGAAAGCTGTTTGTATGCTGGCACACTTCGGGAGAAAATTGGTGTCATTGTCTTTGGCGATTACCCGCACTTCTTGTGGATAGAAAAGAAACCTAACAATGAGCTGCTCCCCGAATGCAAGCAGAAGTGAGAGAAGAAGGTGGAGGTGCAAGCACGGGGCTGGGCCAGCACAGGGAAGGCTGACAGGGGCTCTGACAAGGCCGCCCAGCCTTTCAACACATGGGCCTCACAGTGTGTCCCAGCGGATGACAGCCCCACTGAGAGCCGTGGGCAGGAGCAGCTGGGGATAACAGTGCTCAGGGCTTCCCCTGGAGCAGACACCCGTTTCTAAGAGCAGATTAACCGATTTAGCCCCGGTAACAAAGCTAGGAGGCACTGTTATCACTTCCATTGCAATGAAACTGAGGAAAATTGGCCATCAAGAAGCCAAGCCAGGTCCCTAACTTGAGTTTAAACTTTCTCTTAACCTTTTTGCGCTACAAAAAAGGCAAACAAGGACTTTGCCCTCAGAAACAGGCAAAGGCCCTCAGAGATAAGAGAAGTACCCTGCATTCCCTGCCTCCATAACAGCAAAATCCAGGCCAGCTATTGGGAAGGTCACTCCCGGAAGTGTCTCCATCTCTCAGCGCCGTTCCTGAACTCCTTCCTTCCCAGAAACCACTGCTGAACCCCGCTGACTGGAGCTGGATGCCTGCCTCCTTGAAGCCCCTCATTCTGTTGCACCCCCAATGGAAAAGAGACAGCATGGTGCACTCACAGAGCCCATAGCCCCTGGATTTGGTTTCTGCCTCACACTGGCTGTGAATTTGAACAGGTCATTCACCATCCCTGGTCCTCAATCCCTTCAATTCCTACACTGGATGCCAGCTATGCTTCCCAGGGTGCCAGTGAGGGATTATCCCACATGGAAGCATGTTGTAAACACTTTGTTGCTAGCCAATACTCCATCCACTCCACTGTGGGCATAACAAGGACTAACCATGAGACTGCTTAAAAGCCCAGACCTTGAAGACATAGAAATATGGGCAAATTATGAAACCTGTCTCCATTTCAGTTTCCATATCTGTAAAATGGGCAAGTACTGATACTTGCCATAGGAATGGCAGATGATATGTACAAGAGAGTACATGAAAATTAACAGTAAAATTTCAATGTGGCTCTGAATGAGTTAATACGTAAAACAATCAGTGGTAACAGGGCCTGGTACATATGAGTAAGCATTATTATTCTTAATTCTTTTCAGATCAAGGGGTGGGAAGGACAATGCCTTATAAAGTGCCTCGATTTGTTCTAGTAAATAGCCTGAACTCATTAAATATAAGCTATTCCGCTAGTGGCACGTGTTGTTTCTTTGTGATGGTGGTAGACAGCCTGATGATTCCTGTGATCATCCCAGTGGAGCATGGAGCAGCTCTGCCTTAGGCCATGGCAGGACTCTGCCCCTCCCACTGGCCTGGTCCCAAATGTGGCAAGGCTGGTTTCAGGGATCTGCAATCTGCAAACTGTGGTACATCCCAGGGCCTGTGTTCAGAAGCACTTGAGCTAGAAAAAAGAAAAGAAAAAAGAAGAGAAAAAAATATTCTGCTCTGTTTACTGCTCTGTATCCTGTTTACTGCTATGTTTTTGTCATCCTGAAATTCTTTATAATATTGGACCAAAGGGCACCTCCCTTTCATGCTGCCCTGGGCCCTGTAAATGATGGAGCTGGTTCTGTTATCTGGTGCCCGGGACCCTCTCAGACTGGTGCCAGAAGCTACCTGGTTCCTGCTACCTTCTCCAAGCCAGATCACACTCTTGTTTCCTGGCATCACTTCTGACCCATGTGGATACAGTTCTGACTGCAGCCCTGGCAAACTTGCTAGCTGAGATACAGTTCAGGCATCAGCCCACAGGGATTTGTTTTCCTGGAATCCAGGCTTTCCAGAGCCAAGCCTGGGTTTTCACACCTTTTCTTTTCTTGTGGCTATCACCTACTTTGCACTTAAATGTGCTAGATTGCTGTGTGTTATTTTTACTTGCCCTGCTTCATTAAATTCTTTCAGTGACTAGTAAGGTATGTATTATTTTCTCTGTTTTATACAGAAGAAAGTTCAAAAAATTTAACAAAATCAAATAGCAGATCAGAAGTCAAACCAGTAAATAAGCACAAATGTGCTTGGATCCGTAGCCCCTGATCTATACTGAATCATTGTATTCAGTGGTCCTTTTCTACATCTGACCCCATTTCCCTCCTTCTAGTCCCCCTAACATGAGACCTTCCAATGCTCTGCATTGTAAGCCTGACTGTCTGCTCAGTGCCTCCTCTCTGGCACCTCCCACTGCCAAGTATTGACAAGAGATAGTTTACCGCCATAAACACATAAAGGGTCTCTACATTAGGTTCTTGTGGCTATGTAACAAATAAGACACAAACTATGAATCTGCAAACAAGATGTGTTCCTGAATAACATACCTGACATCTACATCTTAAAGGCAAACCAATTTTATTCGGCTCACTTTTTAAAGACAGTCAGTCCATGGATGGCTGGCTCCAATGCAGAAACAGCATGGCAGAAGGTTGTGATGGAGTAGAGCTGCTGATATCACAACAAGAGAGAAATAGTATTAGAAACTAAGGAGCTAAAGACCAGGCACAGGCCCCAAGGCCATGCCTCTACAATCCCCCACGCCTAGACATACCTAGAAGTAGGCTTTACTAATCCCTGGACGGATCCCAAAGCCAATCAAGTTGACACTCCACCTTAACCAATACAAAAGAGAAATGCATTCTCAGTTAAGGGATACTAAAGTAATGTCACTGCGCTAAAATGAAGAGGGAGCCAGGGCCTTACTGTCCCCTAGAAGCTTTAGAGCAAAATCCCTCCCTTATTCTCGTAACCACTGTCATCCTTTGCCTTGTGGCCACCAAAGTCAGAGCCTCTGAGTCTCTCTGCTCAATCTTCCTGTGGCCATTTCTGCATGTATCAGAGCACCCTCTGTCTCCTTTTCCCTTTCACATGCATTTGCACCTAAGGCCCAGCTGGACAATCCAGAATAAATGTTCCATCTCAAGGTCCTTAATCACATCTGTAAAGACACATTTTTACCATCTATGGTAACTGATAGAATTTTTGGTCTGGCTTTTTTCTCTGCTCCACAAGTGGTGTAGGGGCATACATATAGCTTTTGGTCTGGGGTGGTGCCTAAGGGACATTACTGATGCACAAGTAGCCCATTGGAATTCATTTCATGCCACAGGTAAATTGCCTAGGGGCGGGGAAGATGATCACAAGATAGAGCCCCTTGGTTCGGCCTCCCAGCCTCCCGCCACTATAGTGTCTAGGGAAAGATCCTTTCATTCCTGTTGTTTTATTATTAGGAACAGGGCAAAGTTTTTCTTTTTTTTTTTTTTTTATAACTGCCTGCTGAAAGGGGGCGCTGTACTGGGGTTTAGGAGGGATGATGGTTGAGGCCCATGTAGAAGCTGGTGCCAGGTGTTTTAGCCAGGACAACTTTATCATTGATGAATGCCTGCACCTTAGACTGGAAAAACAAAGAGACCAGGTGCTATAAGGAGGCAGGCCACTATCATATTTAAGGACCAAGGTGAGGTAGAAGAAAAGGTGCCTTTGATTTAGATATGTAAAATCATTACCAAGGTGAGGTAGAATTCTGAAAAATAATTGTGGGGTTAGGAGGAGTGAACTTATGGGAGGTGATTATTCCCCCATCTGAAAGGGTAAAAGTTGAGAAGGTAGGTAGTTAGGACTTGTCTCTGGTCCAGGAGTTGAGCTGGAAAGAATAGGAGGGGTGGGGATGTCTGTGGCTGTCACAAGGAAGGTGAGAGCCTAGGCCTTCAGGGATCTCATGTTTGACCAAACAGCTGAGGGTAGAAAGAACTATGACAGTTGTCACATAGAATAATATAAAGATGATCTTACGCATGATGTGGGAGTCTTTAGGAAAGACTGTTAAGAGTCCTGTTGTAAAAATGATAATTAATAGAATGTAAGAAATTAGGAACCAAATTGGATAACAAAACATGACTTAGCCTGAGAGTTGTGGCTATGGGGCCTTCATGAAACAGAGATGGGCAGGCGACAGAAGATGAGATGACCATTCAGAATGGTTAGATTTAGAGCTGGGAGGGCACCACTTAGCCTGAGTGATGTGAAACCAAGATGGCCATCCAGCAACTTTGACCACTATAGGGGTTGTCAAGGAGACCAGATAGGGGCCGCTCCACCTTGGATGTAGTCCTGTGGATTTAGAACATTTGAGATAAATTAGATCTCCTGGGGATATGGGAGGATCTGGTTTGGCCCCCTCAGAGGGTTGGGAAGGCAGAGATCAGCATGTTGTCATAACAGGTGTCAGAGGAAGGAGAGGACTGGGATGTAGTCAGCAAGAGGAGGGAGACTTTGGGGAGTAGGAAGATTATGGAGTAAGAATGGCCTGCCATACATAAGTTCAAAAGGACTTAAAAATATAGGAGCCCGGGAAGTGCCCTGAGCTTGGCTAAGGCTAGGGGCAGAAGTTGAGGCCAAGGTTGGTGTAGTTCTAAAATGAACTTTTTAAGGTGTGTTTTTATGAGGCCATTTGCCTTTTCTTCTTTTCCTGAGGATTGTGGCTGGTATGGGATGTGTAGGCACCAGGTGATGTGTAAGCTTGAGGAGGATACCTGTTGAGTGATCTGAGAAACAAAGGCAGGACCGCTATCTGACTGAATACTCTGAGGTAGGCCAAACTTGAGATGATTGCCTGTAATAGGACTTTAGTAACTATATTAGTGGTCTCCCTGGTTGTGGGACAGGCTTCTATCCATCCTGAAAAAGTACAAACAAAGGTGAGAAGATATTTGAGAGTTTTGTGGTAGGGCACATGTGTAAAATCTATCTGCCGGTGTGACCAGCGGTGTGTCCTCAAAATTGATGAGTAGGAAAAAAGGGGGTGCTATTTGTCCCTGAGAAGAGGTCCTAGCACAGAGATGACAGGTGTGAGTAACCTGAAGAATGATAGCCTTTAGAGAAGGGTGTGTGACAACTGGGGCTGAATTTGTACAGAGCCTGTGATCCTGCATGGAAACAGTTAGGTAAGTCAGTGATGATGTCTAGGGCCTGCTGATCTGGGAGAACAAGTTTAGATCCCTAGAAAATCCATCCCTGTGTGTTTTGTGTGTAACCTGGTTTATGAAGTAACTGTAGCTGCTCTAGTGAATAATTAGACTGAGGCAGACTGTTCAGGACTAACGGGAGAAGATGAGAAGGATAGGGCCTTCGTGCAGCTAACTTGGCTTGTGAATATGCAAAGGCATTGCCTTGAGCAATGGGATCTGCAGAATACTGGTGATCTCTACAATGAATAACTGCTGCCTGTTTTGGGAGTTGTGCTGCCTCTAGAAGTTTAAGGATAAGAGGTGCATTAATGATGAGGGTTCCCTGAGAGTTAATAAAACCCCATTCTTGCCAGATAGAGGCATGAGAGTGTAAAATGCTAAATGTATACTTTGAATCAGTGTATATATTAATGACTTTGTCTTTTGCTAGTGTAAGGGCCCTTGTAAGGGCAATAAGTTCTGCCCTCTGGGAAGAGGTCCCAAGTGGCAGTGGATTTGCCTCTATAACTTTTGACGGGTTAACTATTGCGTATCCTGCCTTTTTTCTGGCCGTCTGTGTTTGCTGAACTGCCATCTATGAACCATGTGTCAAAGGCTAAAGAGAGAAGTGTGCTACTGATGTGAGGGAAAGGGGTGGGAGTCATCTGTAAGACCTCAATACAGTCATGGTGAGGATGGCCCTCTGAGGTGGGAAGTAAGGTTGCCACATTAAGAGGACCACTAGTTGCAATAGAGATGCAAGGGTCCTGAGAGAGGGCTAGGTGTACCTGTTAAAGGTGAGAAGGCAGGACATCAGAGTAGGGAGTGCCTCATGTGAAATGAGTGCATTTAAGTGATGAGGTGCGTGTACTGTAATAGATTACCCTAATGTAAACTTTTTAGCTTCCTGTTGTAGTAGGGCTGCAGCTGCAAGGGCTCGGAGACAAGGAGCCCATCCTTTTACTGTGTTGTTTAACTGTTTTGACAAGTAGGCTATGCTTGAAAACAAGGCCCCTTTTTGTGTCCTAGTACACCTACAGCATTGTGACCCTGAGAGGCAGTATATAGAGTAAAAGGTTGGGTAGGGTCAGGAAGGGTAAGGGCTGGAGCTCTTAGGAGAGCCTCTTTTAATTTATGTAAGGAGGCATGTACGGGCATAGTGGGGTCTAGAGGTTCTGATAAGGGACCCTTAGAGACCTTGTAGAGGGGCTGAGCTAGGGCTGCAAAGTTAGGAATCCATAGACAAAAGAAATTTGCTAAACCTAGGAAAGATGTAACCTGTTGTTTAGTTGTGGGCACCTGGAGATCTCGAAGAATAGCCTAGTGATCTGCGGTGATAGAATGAGTGGTGGGGGTGAGAGAGAGACCTAAATATTTAACTTTTGGGGAGGCTACCTGGGTTTTAGCAGGAGAGACCCTGTACCCACGACTGGCAAGAAAATTAAGGAGACTAGATGAATGCTCTATGGCTAGTGGGGTGGAGGACATAATAGAAGGTCATCTGTGTATTGAAGAAGGGTACTAGGTTTGAGGTCAAGTTCTGCAAGGTCAGTAGCGAGAGCTTGGCTAAAGAAGTGGGGACTATCCCTGCACCCTTGGGGGAGCACTGTCCAAGTAAGATGTTGAGACCTGAGAGTCACTCCATGTAAACGCGAAGAGGTCCTGACAATCAGGGTGTAGGGGGATGGTAAAGAAGGCATCTTTAAGATCTATAACCGTAAAATGAGTGGTGGAGGGAGGGATATGAAAGAGCATGGCATAAGGGTTTGGCACCACTGGGTGGGTTGGGGTAAAAGCACTATTGATTACCCTGAGGTCCTGTACCAGGCAATAGGTCCCATCAGGCTTGAGTCATGGGAGAATGGGAGCATTATAGTGTGAATGGGTAGGTTTAAGAAAACCGTTGTCTAAAAGGCACCTAGTTATACGTTTAAGTCCCTGTAAGTGTTTAGAAGCTATGGGATATTGGGAACACAAGGAAAAATTGAAGGATCCCTGAGATGGATTAAAATAGGTGTGGCATGAGTAGCAAGGGTGGGATTGGAGGTATCCCAAACTATGGGATCAACCAGAGAAGAAGGAAGGGTAGGGGGTGACTTTGCAGTGCATTGTGAGGCTGTTTGGAGGACTAGAGCTGTGAGGAGGGAAAGGTAAAGGAGAAGTTAAGCTTTTGAAGAGATCTCTACCTAAAAGGGGTGTGGGGCACGTTGGAATTACTAGGAAACTATGGGTAAAGAAAAGAGTCTGGAATCTGCATGGGATAGGCCCAGTCTCACAGGCTGTATAAGCTAGCCATCAGTGCCATGTAGGCTGGCCATCAACACCCACAACAGAGATTGAGGACTTAATACAAGGACCTGAAAATTCAGGAAGTACACTATAAGTCGCCCCCATGTCCACAAGTACAGATAGTGTCGTACCTGAGACCTCCAGTAAGACTCGGGGCTCTGAGATGGATACCTTAGTGGGGGCTGTGGGCCCCAAACCCCATCAGTCTTCAGCATCAAGTCTGAGCAGATCTGTCAGTGATGAATCTGGTCATGATGGTGTTTTCTGTGTGGGTGGGGAGGGAGCCCATGGCTTACCTGCTCTCTGGCAGTTGGGGCATTCCCTCTTCCGGTGGCTCTTAACATTGCAATAGGGACACGG